AGTAAAATGAACTGAAAACTATTTTAGGTTATCTGAAATGGTTGAGCGCTTTTGCATATCCAAGTTTATATTGAATCTGCCAAGATTTTAATGAAATGTGAGATTTCTAGTTGCCGTAGTAGTTTTGTTCCTGTCTCAAACGTAACAGACAATTCTAATGCTACAATATCTTTATCAACCAAGGAACTGGATAAATAAACAGTTTAATGTCGTATTCATTGGATTTAATTCTTTATTAATTTTTTTATTTAGTTATCCGATTGTAAACAATTTGATGATATAGATACAGCTATTGTTCGTAAATTAAAATAGCTATTAACAAAAGACAATGTTGTAAGTCGACTTTTATTATTTAACTCAAATGAATAATGCGATGGAAAATTTTTGAATATAAATCTGCGCAATTTATTTGGTTCATGTATTGTTTTTATCTTTTACGTTTCCTATTCATCCATTAAGAGAGCAAGCATTAATATCTGATGTAGCTAATACATAAAAAAGTAATTATTTAATTAAACTAAAAAGAAAAGTACAACATTGTATAAAGAAATCCGAATAATCCAATAGCATTCTGTCATGAGAAGAACGAGATATGCAGCGATATGCTTTCTGGAAACAATTTAGCAATTCTAACACTCAATAAAATTACTATTTCCAGTTATAATTTGAAGCATAGTTGATTTTAGGCTTGTAATAGTCTAGTTAGTAGAATTCATTTCATATTTAAAGTAGAGTTTTTCTAGATGAAGCAAATCAAACTTCAATTGTTTTATACTTAATTAAAATATTCTCTTTTCAATTGATTTTTTTTCTTTACATTATTTCTATAATAATTTGGACATATTTTTCGATAATGTGCAAAAAGAAATCAAAAGCTTAAAACAATTGAATACATAGCTGAAGAATGTTTTTAGCTTGCTTTATAGAGATGCCGTAAACCACAAGCGTACTCATAATGAAACTTTACGGATTGATATCTTTCAATCTTAGAATCAAAAGATGTCAACATTCAAACTCTGAATAACTTGAAACTGTAGAGTAGAAGATGAATTATACACTTTCAAATTGTATCATTTTCAAAATTAGATTATCATTTGTAATTAAGAATTGAAAAACTAGCTCTAATAGAGAAAGACATAATCATTTCTCAGGCATTTATTGTTTCAATCCACTATATGTGTACTACCTAAGATTTTTATTGTTTTTTTTTAACTAGGGAATTTGGAAAGATGCTATTCGAATTAAACTCAAACGAAAACGTTTTGAAAATCGAGATAATGAAGAAGTAAAAGCTTATCAGTCAAAGTATTCAAGATTTGGATATGGACGTCCAGTAAAAAAATGATTGATGAAGTTGCTGAACGAGATCGACAAAAACAAGTAAATCTCTATCACATATATTTTGGCTTTTGATTGATTTTTTCTAGATAATGTTGGTAACTTACGATGGTGATACATTAACTGTTATTCAAAATAAAGCCAAACAGTTACGTGATGATCCTCAACTTGATCTTAATATTCGACTTCAATTATAGAAAGAAACTCTTCATGTTAGACGTAAAGCTGTTCGTAATCAAACAACATCAGAAATTTTTGAAGAATTTCCTGGATATAAAGATCCAGTGTTGGTGAGTTTATTTATAACTTCTTTTATTTATATTTAATAAGTTTACTTCTGCAATAGATTTTTGAAGAAGTAAAGATGATAATGGGAGCTGATTTACGTGCTGTCGTACGTCGTCAAATACCGATTTTGCTTGAAAGGATTATTGCAACACCTGCTTTTATTACAGGTTATAACATGAATTAAAATATTTCAAATAATCGTGCGTGTTTGTAGATTCTCCACTAATACAACTTACTCATGTGCTTTGTCGTCAATTTGATGAATCAATTCACTATTTATATTGCAATACAGTAAGTGCTTTGCTGTAGCTTTCGAAGATGCATCTTTTTTATGTTTTACAGACAGAAAGATGAAATGTATGTTTGTATGGAACTAACGAAAAAAAAATTTTTTATAAATAATTGCGCGTCTTTTTCAGGAAGAAATAGTTTAGACAAATAGTTTCGAAAAATTACTTGCATTTATGTGATATAGCAATACGATAAACGTTTTTATTCTTTGAATCTTACAGGAAAAACACTTTTAATAGTTATGTAGAATGATATGATAGTCTCAGTATATTTTCACACGAGTTGATCAGAATAACTAATATATTGTGACTACATAGCACACAAGCATCTTTTGGTTTGCTAATCGTGAATTGTTTTTTTCTAGTCACCATCAAGTCCATATCCATCAATGGTGTTCACTGATAATACAATCACTGTATTTACAGATTTTCTTTCGATCGTTTCAACAACATCACCTGATGATGGATTAGCACTTGTACTAGCAATGTATGTCGTGTTCGAACTAAATTTTCCTAAAAATGGTCGAGCAATACGATTTTTATATGCAATGATGTTTGGTAATACAAGATATTTATCAAATGAAATGCGTAGTCTAATCAAAGAAAAGAATATTGAAATTTATACTGAACGAAATCGAGAAATCTGTGAAAGTACAAATTTGATTTCAAACAATCACTCAGCTGTTACTCATGATACTCAATCTTCATCACACACTAGTTCTAATTTATTATCTGCTTCACTTGAAAATGTTTATCCATTAAATAGTAATAGTTTTCCAACCAATACCACTATTACATCTACAGAGTAAGTATTATATTTGTACATGAATTTTAAAATGTTATAATTCTTCTGTGCATAGACCTGATGATATGAATCGAAAATCTTCATCAAATGTTGATAGTCAAAAACAATCTGAACATTTTTCAAAAAAAAATCGTAAAGAGAAAAGCATTAACATGTGATAGTGATGATGATTCACAAGATGGTATTACTTCTCTAGTAGACACAAATTTACATGTTGGTACTCGTCAGAAGACTAAACGAAAACGTAGTTATTAGTCTATACACATATTGAATAACAGTTAATATTCTTTTGTACCATTTAGCATTTTTAATACTACTTTTTTTATAAGAAAACTTGAAACGTTATTAAGATGAACATAATGAATAATATATTGTATATATATGATGTCTTTCTAAGATATGAAAAAAATAAACATTGATGAAATATGAAACTATTCAAGATCGTCCAATTTTTTTCTTCTAAATCATGAAAAAAAAACGATTTCAAATTAGCTACTATATACAGACATTAATTAATTACAAACAAGCTCTTAAATCATTATTTCAACGACGATATTATTTTATAAGAATTTACTTTAACTCAATAGAGATATTCATATTTTTCTTTAGAATTTCTCTGTTCTTAGTATTTTTTTTAAATATAAGATCAATTTCGTTGCATCATCTATATTTCAAGAACTTGAAGATTGTCGTCAAAATAAATTAAAATAATTCCAGCTGCAAAAAAAACACGTCTTCAATCTATTAACTTGTACTCGAATAGAATCTTTTCAGGCATGTTCACTATGAATCAAATCAACGCAATCATAGATTTTTCCTTTTCACCAATCAGAAAGATAGATGCCGCTCTATATTCGCGCCTCCTGGTTAAATCGGCTCTCGTATTGACTTATAAATTACTACCAACAACCTCATAAACACATTGCCCTCTTATTATCGCAACGCTGAAGTTGACCGAAAACCTAATGCCATTCCAAACAAAACTAATAATATCTCTGCAAATCGAGAGATATTTTCTCTCATTCATTCTTCTCCACAGCAAGAACGTAGTTAAATGTTCCTTCTATACATGTGTTGGTATTCATTTCCATTTCTCCACAGTTCGTGACTTCAAATAGTAGTCCCGTAATTTCAACATTATTATTATTTTTTCTATAGAGAAAATAAGATTCACTACCATCCTGATAACAGAAAATTAATTTTCATATTTCTTTCACTTCCTTTCGGTAAAATATGATCCTAATTTTCAAGCAACTAAAAAGCAGCTTTCCACATTATCCTTTTTCTATTTTTAGATAGAACTAACTTGAATATCATTATATCAACCACAACTGATCCAAAAAATATTTTCTCTTCTTCAGATACAATTGACTTCAATATGAAAAGGTAAGCAAAAGTTAACCTCATATTTTTTTTTTGTTTCTTTAGATATAAGATGATTGAACCTTTTTTTAAGTAAGTAAAAACTACTTTTGTACATGATTACTTTTCTTTCTTTAGATAGAATGAACTTGAATATCATTAGATCAACATCAATTGATTCAAAACAATTTCTCTTCTTCGAATACGATTAACTTTAATATGAAAAGGTAAGCAATATTTAATCTAATATGTTTTTATTTCTTTAGATAAAAGGCGATGGATGCTTTTTAAGTAAGTGAAAACTAGTTTTGTA